ACTAATGTATGCTCTAGAACAATATCATACTATTATATAAACCAGAGTTTGTTTGTCTGACCGCTCCCCAAAAATTCGCAAGTGTCCCCCACATGTTTATAATTCTTCCTTCAAAAATCACCTAGGGAGGGCGGGTCAAGTTTGAAATGGGTAGAGTATGAGTCGCTCTTTAAGGGAAATATATTGGCCATGCTGAACTCCGCCTCCAGTGGGCGGGGCGTGCGTCGAAATTACAAAATTTGGTGAAAAAATTGCAGTTTTTGGCTTCAGAACAGTCTAAAGTCAGGGAAAAAATAGGGCCTTAATAGGGTACTTACCGCTCTACAACGGGAATATGTTGGCCATAAAAAACTCCACCCCAAGTGGGCGGGGCGTGCGTCAAAAATCGAAATTTCGTTGAAAAATTGCAGTTTTTGGCTTCGGAACAGTCTAAAGACAGGGAAAAAATAAGGCCTTAATAGGGTATTTACCGCTCTACAACTGGAATATATGGCCATGCTAAACTCCGCCTCCTGTGGGCGGGGCGTGCGCTTAAAGTAAAATTTTTCGTGAAAAAATAGGCGTTTTTCGTCCAAAAACATCCAAAAAACCAGGTAATGGGGGTTGATAGAGGGGCCGCGGGCGGCCCGCGCGGGCCCCCCCCCCGGCGCCCCGCCCGCCACCCACGCCGGCCGGCCCGCCGCCCCGCCCCCCGGCCCTCGGTGGCGGACCATAGATCACCCCCCTATCATACTATTATATAAACCAGAGTTTGTTTGTCTGACCGCTCCCCAAAAATTCGCAAGTGTCCCCCACATGTTTATAATTCTTCCTTCAAAAATCACCTAGGGAGGGCGGGTCAAGTTTGGAATGGGTAGAGTATGAGCAAATGAGGCAGAGCAGGGTTACAAAGATTTGACGACTCCATTCCCTATCCATCATCTTCAAGTTCTCCATAGTATTTGCTTCCACGATCACTCACCCACTTCCATCTCCAAAAACCCCACAGACATCGCGAGGGGGGGGGAATCGGGGTGAGGGTATTAAATATGCTTAAAACGAGAGAATTTCCTTATTGTCTCAACTTCTCCCATTTCTTTACCCTCATTCACGACCTACCCACACTCTTAAAACCCAGACACTCCCATAACATAACAATTTTTTTGCATAAAGTTGTGATCGCTTATCATGCGTAGATCAGTACTTGCTTATTAGAGTACGAATGAAACTTGGCAAGGTTCCCTCTGCAATATAGCATGCTCCTTCCAGCCATAATCAGCGGGATTAAAGAAGAAGGAATAAGCAGGTCGAGCCGCATTTTGCGTGCCTCGAGTCAGTATCATCCCACAAGTAGTCTACTCTCAGCAACCAACTTTCGCGCTCGGTATCGTGCGCAGCTAAACTGGTTTTACAAATAATACAATACAGGAAGAAATTTCAGTCGTGCCGAGCCATTGCGACGGATCCACTGCTTGCACAAGCGAAACCTAATCAGTTGTGGAAGAGTATAGCTGAGTTCATTGACAAGAATGCACCTGATGGTATGCTGCAATCTCTCTGTTGTACGTAGTCGCTAGTCGAAAATATCCTACATTCAGATGAAGCCCAACGTAAAGAGATGCTGAAGCACTTTTACAGGAACGGGTATAATTCAAGGAGAAGGTCTATTGCAAGGTAAAATAGTTTCTAGTTAATATTTTCTCATCTACGAAAATGGCCCTTCAGAGCAGCTGCGAAGCTTCACCGCCCCGCTGTCGAGAAGGTGGCAAATGAACAAGGAAACCAAGGAAATGAGCGGCAAAATTCAAGGAGTGAGAAGAAGTTGTCGTAGCCTACAAGAAGGTCAAGATCCCAACGACTTCCCAACCTTTATGGATTTTCAATGGAATTTGATCACATTTGGGGATAAGGAAATGTTATAATATTGTCTTACGGTTGCAACTTGTTCACTTCTACGAAAATTTCTGGAGTTCTACACTCGTAGCTCCAACCACAGACGCTGTACAGCCTAAATAATTATACCTTATGCCTTTGGCGGCGATGCCACCCTCTGTTAGGTAAAACCCTTTTTTTCCGTACAGGAGTACTGCCTACCGTTGGATGCTTCACTGTGAGTATTTCGAAGGGGTACTTGGAAGTGCTGTAAATAAAGGTAGTTTTTTTCGTATGATAAAATGCTGCTTCATTTGATGTTGTTTTGATGAGTATCATGAAACTTGTAATTATATCAATTATTAGCGATCGGTACGCGGCGAAACTGCCGAAGTATATAGAACAGATAGAACGATCGGTGGACAAATTGCATCACGTTCTGGTACCCAGATGTAGATGATGTAAAGCGTACACTTAGCCGCCCAGCACGCGGTAGAGATCTCTGAAAAAACTTTAAGAGATTTTGGTTCAACATTAGGCGCCAACCGCTTAAGATTGCCAAAAATGGAGGGAGCGTTGTCGGCCGCGAAGGTCATTTTAAACAACGAGCATCCAAGTGTTCAAGTAAGTGCAATAATAAGAATTTAGAATAGGAAAATTCGAGAATAAGAGGTGGTTTGTTTCGCCTCTTACTCAGACTTGGAGTCGGAGAGGCGTTGTGTTCTCCGTACGGCTGTGGTATACCCTGTAGTATCATTTGAAAGGGAAGTAGTATTGGTTGAGATGGAGGGAAATAAGTGCAGCTGCGTTTAAGAAGGCGGTATGTTAGAATTCTCCACTTGCAACCTGAGAATCAGCCAATTCTTAGCCTTCTCCCTTATTCGTAGAGGATGGTATGATTGTGTGAAAAGTGCACACTATTCCAGATTAAAATCTCTGTAATTTGTTTCTTCTTTGAGAAAACCGATAATCTTGTCTTGAACGGAAGTCACCGCAATTGCAGGAATTACCCAGACCTAGTCAACCGGTCTCCGGACATCTGTCAACCGTGAGGCTAGGCAATTCAGCGTTTTGTTGTGCTGTCTGGGAGCTCTCACACAAGCGCACTATTACAGAATCTCCGCTTTCTTTACCTCCTTCAAAAGGCTTAGTCCCACTACCACAAAAACGTCTGCTTTTCCTTCTACACTCTCACCCCCTGGTTGACAGAAGTCTTGTAACCAGAGTCAACCCTGCGTTGCGCAGTTCTCAACGGCCACGTTGCGCAGTTTCGCCCGATTAGACACGTTCTCTCGCGCGAACATTCACACTCGCATGCTCGAGCCGTCTGCGTCTCCGCCCATACAGCGTGCGTTGAGGATCTCTCAACGTGCCGTTGCGAACTGCGCAACGCAGGGTTGACTCTGCTTGTAACCTAGTCAACCTGTTTACCAGATTGGCGAGAGCGTGACGCGGTAACGCGCCCCACCCAAGTCCTCCCTTTTCTAGCGCTTGCGCAACTTCTTTCGAAGTTCTTCGTACTCATGGCACATACATTAACATAACTATAAGCGCTGTGGTTCATGGAATAGTTAGATATGCTTTAGTTTAGCAAAGGTTTCCTGAACCTCACGTACTTCTCAGTTATCTTCAAACTTCGACTTTTATTCTTGAATAAGCAAGCGAATATAGTAAAACGGAAGTATAAAACAATTGTTTACAAGTACAATCAGTAGTGCTATGGATGACAAGATTTGTGTTTCTTATTGAGACATTCAATACAAAGGAATTTTTTACATCTACTGCAACGCGTGTTGACTCCTCTTGTTTTTTGCGGCAGCAGCCGAAAATGTTGCGTAAGAGCACTTTCCTCTGTTAACCCGCTCTCGAACCTTTAGCTAGTTCTTCAAATTTATGGCTCGTGCAGTTGGACTAACGAGTTGAAATGCGGTCACGCTCAACCTTGGCATGGACGCATGATTTTGCACGAGCAATAATTCGAACAGCTCTAATTTGAATCATCTAGCCGAATATTCTTGGTCGAATCTTTGTATAACTTCGTATTTTGTATTCGTATTCAATTTGTGTTTTGTATAATTGCAATCTGATTCTCCTCCCAGCTCCCATTGTGCTCATTTTTGTTGCATCCGGAGTTGAGTTCCGAGAAACGCATCCTTAGGACAGCGGAACGCGGCTTCCAGAATCGCTTACGGGAGGGGCGGGGGAAGGGGAGTAAAGGTTATACAACTCTTACATCACATGTTTAGGGTCATCATTCGCTAGGCGCTTCCCAACGACAACCCTGTTTTCGATAAACACGTGGTTAGTTGTTGTGTACAGCGTCAACCAATCCCTGGAAAACTCGGAAAATGAGATTATTTGCGTTATTTGAAGAAAACGTGGAGGTGGCGTGTACGGTGTTTTACCATTGTCTTCTTGGAAGACATATGGGAAGAAAACTTCTGAGAAAAGAGGGAGAATTTCATGGAATTTCGAAGAACTCTGAAAATTTAGTAGTATTTGCCAATGCAGCAGTCGTACCCCTAAGAATTATCATGGGGCGGGCTGGATGCAGGAAGTACGGGGACCTTCTCCAAGAAGGAATGTGGCCGTGGCTTACCCTCCTCCAATTTTTTTCCGAGCCAATGGTCAACCTGGTGGGGGAAAGGGGATAGATGGATAAAGGATAAAGGATAAAGCATTTGCCGTTGATCAATCCCTTTTTGGGATGCGGCACGCATTCTACTTCCATTTGTACATTCGTAGTGGCGTTTGAATGCGATGTGGCCTATACAATGACTTGCGGGGGCCAGCCGATGTTCAAGTCAGTGTTTGGGGGGGGGGGCAAAAAAAGGGGGCCATGCGAAAAACCACCTATACTGAACATGACACACCGTCCTCTATATACAGGGGGGGGGGGCAAAAAAGAGTCACTTTGCCCATGGCGCATATCATCAAACTTTTCGTCGCAAAGGATGCCGCTGTTATTGGGAGTTATACGGCGAAATATTCCTTAGATGTCCCCCCATAAGCAGAATCAGGCCCACCTTCGCTGCCTTCACCGTCTCCAGAATATGACGTCATCTGTCATCACCGTCGAGCTCAAGGAGGCCAATCGCTCCATTCTGAAGCTGCTACATAATTTCTTCAATCGGATAACTGGTGAATGGCTTCTTAGAGACACTAGCTCTGACTATGCAAGATGGCTTTTGACCAGCGTTTCAGAGACGTCGTAATCGTCTATGGTTCTCGACGACCTCGTTGAGCTCGTACCGTGAACCATGTTTCCGTGGGAAAATCTTCTGATGTCGTCGGTGTAGAAGGCCTATGTAATTTTGATAGATAGAATGTGCTCTTCAATATGCAATTGGGCTCATTCGGTTTGGTTTGGCAAAGTGTAATTAATTCTGTTTTGAATGTGAATGAGAGTGACTCTTTTTCCCCCCCCCCTGTATGTTCAATAACGTATGTGCTCTTAGACTAAGTCGATGTACATCAGTGAAATGAGGAAAGTAATAAAATTGAAAAGCAGTCAAAGAATCTCAAAAATTATGTGCGAACCAGTAGAAGACAAATTTGTGTTGCGGTATCAGTCTAATGAGTTCTTGATTTTGATAACACACTAACAACGTAAGTGTTGGATAAGACATCCACTGAGCACATTCCCGGCGATTTCAAGAACCTCTGCGTGAAGGTGATCGGAATGATCAGAGAAACTAATTGCTGACAAGGCTTGAAAATAAACCAGGATTCAGTATCAGTCTATCATGTTTTGGCAAATGTTTTGTTCGAAATATTCATTCTTCTCCAGATTCTCCTAGAGGTCCGCTAGGACCGATATCATACTAGGCTGTAATAGATTCTCGAGAATCCACTCTGGCGGATATAGTACTCGGGCTTATACGCATGGGGCAACAGAGGTTTTAGACGACCGAAGTCAGGTGCCAGCTATTGTTCTCACGAGCCTCTACCGAAGCCACAATCCGACATGTATTGTTGTCAACCTGGGCTCCGCCCAAAGGAGGATGGGATAAGGACGAAGGTTGACAAAAGGGGAACTTATTGATAGTGAAGAGACAGGCGTATCTCCTAAATGTGCATAGCGACACGCAATTTGCATTGGAGGATATGCCCATAGCCTTTCCCGCGGCCCACAGCCCGCTACTGGCCCGATACGCCCTCCCCCCTCTTGCGTCTCGTGTCTCTTGCCGTATAGCAGAGAGAGCGTTAGCGTTGAAGTGTGCAACACCACTATTGAGTCGCATCAATGCGCAAACAACGGGCAGGGAAGGTGTCCCATTTTTTGGGTTCTGGGACATTTTTTCTCGGTTTTTTCTTCTTTCGTGCATCACGGACCACCTCTGACTTAATTTCCGACAGGCGATGTTATTTACAGTTACCATTTTCATCGTAACTGTAAATAACATCGCCTTTGAAAGCAGAGTATACGATGAAAAAACAGCTCATTAAAAAAGATGAAACCGTCCTCGTCTTCTGGATAGTTCCCTTCTCCAATCTGAAGTAACATCCGTGCCCACTCCGTGTTATCCGGTGTAGTTCTCATATTGACAGAGAGGCGGTAGGTGAGAAAGTGTCGCCACAAAGGTGAATTCTTGACGCATGCACTTTCCAAATCTTCTTGTCGTCCTTTTTCCACAACTGGGAGAACTTGCCGAAAATCACCTCCAGCAATCATGATTTTACCTCCAAACGGCAGCTCATTCTGCATCAGGTCTTTCAGCAGAAGGTCTACAGCCTCCATTGTCCATTTGGGCACCATAGAGATTTCGTCCCAGAAAATAACAGAAATATCTCGGAGAGCCTGTGCCTCTGCAGATTCTCTCCTCATGTTAGTTGTCCTGCCGCCATCGTGAATATTCAACTTGAAGAAGCTGCTTGCTGTCCTTCCGTCAGGTAGCAGATTTGCGGCAATGCCTGTCCAGGCAACACAGACAACCTTTATGCCTTCCCCCAGAAGAGCGTGGTATAAAGTTGTGTACAGGAATGTCTTTCCAGTTCCTCCTGGGCCATCAATGAAGAAATGCCTTTGTGTGTTTCCCGCGTGTACAGTACTCAAAATGTCATCTGCTGCAGATCGTTGATGGGTATTTAACTTGTCCAACAATTCCCTTCCTAGCACAGAGTGTTCCACTGCTGACAGGTGCTCTTCGTCAGTGCGTTCTGGTCTGTGATCAGCCGGTGGAGTGATGATGTTCCTCAAATCTACTCCACAGATCCGCATTCTATCCATGATATCGAAGTACGCCCTAATTACAGCCTCTTCTTCGCTTATGCCACGATTTACATAATCTTCGGCCATCGCTGCTCTAAAGCGTTCCCACAGGTGCTCTGGATCAGTGACATCACAGAAGCATAGAAGACTACTGAATAGGGACCGGAGCTCTTGCGGCATTTGAAACTCTGCCGCTTCCCTTAGACAGCTTTCGTAGTGCGAATCATCATGCATTAGTCCGAGCGCTTTTGCTGCTTCCTTGAAAGTGGCATGGAGGTGTCCATCCACAGTCCTGATATCGTCGAATGATTTGGCTCCTTTCCTGCTGAGAAGAAGGAGCCTCAGGGAGTATCGTTCTGCGTCCAGTGGGTTTGCTGTATACATTCTTCCTATCTGACGGTCCTGCCTCCTTCTTGTGTCCCACCTTCTCGTACGTTTATTGAATGTAAAATACTCTGGCAGCTGGACGTAAAGTAGTGTTCGAGCATCGGTTCGGCCTTGTGGTGGAGCCCCTGCTCCATATAATCTCTCGTGCTCCGCGTTCAACTTGAAATACGCTGTAAGAGTCGTATCTCGTTCGGTGGCTTGACGGAGAGCTTCCTGCTCTCTACCGCTTTCGAAGGGAACAATCTCGTGTCCTGGCAGATGAACTTGTAATCTGTAGACAGTGTCTGATTTTGACTGCAGGTCGAATCCTAGTATTCTATGTGCAGACTCCGGCGCACACACGTAACGTGCATTGACAAATGCGTCGATCTCATTAACTGGTCCTTCTTCGGCCCTGTCTGCTGCTCTTATCAGATGTAAAGCTGCTCTATCTGGTCCTTTGTACACATATTTGTACATGTACTTCACTGCTTGTATCATACCACAAATCTCAACATTGAGGTGGCCATTATAGCGAAGTGCCAGATACTTATTATATGGAACCACAGATCTATTATCGAGCGTTGTGCTGCCAGAAACGATCGTCCTTCCATTATTTGGTCGTCGGTATTCTGGATACCCGTCCACTTCCATATTTGTGGTTTCCCTAAACTGCTTAGGGAAACGTTTCGAACATTGGCCATCTACCATGCATGGTGCGCTCGGATTATCCGAACCGCAGGGCCTATGCATCATTGAAGTCGTCACGATACGGTGAAGCCGAATTTCTGTTTCTGGATCTGGAATAACAGCTTGCACAATTGAATCCACTTCAGCCACGCTTCTGGGCTTATCTTCTTCAGCTAACGTAAGCAATATGTGACAGTGGGGAAGACCTCGCTTCTGCCACTCCATCACACTTATGTGCGCGATCACCTTGCCGAGGATTTGTCGCTTGAAGAGGTCGTCAAACAGCTCTCCCAATTTGATGTGGAAAACGCGAGCTACAATGTCCGGCCGGTCAGATGGTGTTTGTCCTGCTTTGAGTTGCTCAGCGATCTCCTTCCATGCAGGATTGCAAGTGAAAGTGATGAAAAGATCCGGCTTCCCATACCTGGACACAATCGCCATGGCATCCTGATAATTTTGCACCATAGCTCGAGGAGAGCCTGGAAACGAAGAAGGCAGAATGATCCTTCTAATGCCCGGTGGTCCGGCGATGTCCATGTCTCCTGCAACATAGTCGGCGAGTCCACGATAAGTGTCCACTCGGAGCTCTGTTTGATGTGTGCGGTCATAATTCAAACGGTTCTGTTCAATTTTTACGTAGCTGTCCACCAAAAATTGCTGAAACAATTTCTCGGCGAAGTGCAAAGGATTGAAGCCGGCTCTGGCGGCTATCATGCGAATAATACTCCTTCTGACTAATTGTTGTTCGAAGTCTTGCGGAGGGATTCTTTGGCATTCCGCGACGCCATCCAAGCTCTCCACGAGGAAACAGAATGGGATATGAGAGCGGGTCGCATTCTGCATCGTAGACATGGATGTTTCGCAAACCTCCTCCAATCAGGTGCACAGCGAGGTTATGTTCAGTCGGCACGTCACCCTCCTCTCCCACGTATACTACTGCCACTTCATTTGCTGTGGGCTCATTATAACGACGTGGATCCAAATGCGAGGTCTCGAATACCATTCTCACTGGCATGGCGGGTCTTCCTTCCCTCGCAGCTCGACCCTCTTCTTCTAGGGCAACATCATTCATCATCTTGTAAGCTTGCGCAAAGCTATTGATTTCGTGCAACAGTGCACTGAGCGATCGAATCAAATCTGGATTGCAAAGTACGTTAGCGGGATTCCCTGCTCTCTCCTCTGCCGCCATTGAGGTATCTAGAATGTATACTTGCCATATCGTGGCGGTTGACCTTCCTCCGGGCGTGCTGGTCCGATTTTGTGGTAGATTTGGCCATGAATTCGGAAACAGTAAGGCCCATGTCTAGAAGTTTCCAATTGAGCTCCTATGGAAGCGAATGCAAAAGCACTATTGTAATTTCGGATGTGTTCGCGAAACTCCTTTGCTTCAGCGTTTTGAAAGTAAGTAGTTTGCGAAGCTGCACAGGGAAGTTTCTGAAGTGCCTCAGGTCTATGCATCCGTGATTGCAACAGTCATTGAAAGTAGCACTACCCGGTCTTGACTCCGATTTAAAGTGCCTGGCACCACAACTTTCACATTCCACATTCATTGGTCCATCGTAATGTTCTTCTGGTTCAGCATCTGAGCGTGCTATTCTTCTAGTGACAGGCGCGATCCTTGTTGCACGCCCACGATGCCTCTGCGATTCAGTTCGCCGCCTTTCCTCCACTTCAGCCTGTGATGAACCTGCTCTTCGCACCTGCTCTCTTCGTGAAGTAGCAGCAATACGTTGTTCATGTTGCTCTCGAGTTTCCTGTTCTCTCCGCGCTCTAGCTCTCTGAGTATCTCTGAGTCGGCGATCTGCTCGCTCCTCCTCGCTTTCATGTCCTCTTCGTGCTCTAGCTCTCTGAGTATCTCTGAGCCGGCGATCTGCTCGCTCCTCCTCGCTTTCGTGTCCTCTTCGTGCTCTAGCTCTCTGAGTATCTCTGAGCGACGATCTGCTCGCTCCTCCTCGCTTTCATGTCCTCTTCGTGCTCTAGCTCTCTGAGTATCTCTGAGCCGACGATCTGCTCGCTCCTCATCTCTTTCCTGCTCTCTTCGGGCTCTGACTCTTCCAGCAACACTTTCCAGGCGAGCTCTTCGCTGTTCAGCACTTTCCTGCTGTCTTCGTGCTCTAGTCCTTGTAGCAACACTTTGTAGGCGAGCTCTCCGCTGCTCATCCGTTTCCTGCTGTCTTCGTGCTCTAGTCCTTGTAGCAACACTTTGTAGGCGAGCTCTCCGCTGCTCATCCGTTTCCTGCTGTCTTCGTGCTCTAGTCCTTGTAGCAACACTTTGTAGGCGAGCTCTCCGCTGCTCATCCGTTTCCTGCTGTCTTCGTGCTCTAGCCCTTGTAGCAACACTTTCCAGGCGAGCTCTTCGCTGCTCATCGCTTTCCTGCTGTCTCCGCGCTCTAGCCCTTGCAGCTATCCGCGCTCTTCGCTCCTCAGCACTTGCTCGGCGCTGAGCGCCTTCCGCTTCTACATTTTGTTCCAGAAGAGCTCCTGGCTGGTGCTGATAAACTCTTGGACTTTGCGACCTTGAACTTCTCCTTCCACCCATGTTTTTCTGAAAAAGTGAATAAATTGAGATCCATCATTGTCGAATCTTCTCAACACGAACAACTTATTTTGGCTCTTTTTCTGTAATTCGGTAATACCCAGTTAAACTTCTGAATCAATTTAGGAAACATCCTATGGAGAAGAAAAGTTGATAGAGGCTGCGAAGGAAGGGAACTCAAACGCTTACGATAGGAGGAATGTGCAGGAATTTTCACCAACATTCGTAAATCATTTTTAAGACAGCGCAGACAGCGTTCCCTGATCGGGCGCTGCTTAATCGAAAAATCCCAAAACTTCATCACGATATTGCACGTAATTTTAATTAAGATGAGGCCCACCGAAATGAGCGGCGTAGTGCGGTTAGAATGGGCGGGGTATTCCACCAAACTTGCGAACCATTTCTGACACACCTCAAAGACCGAAAAAAATGTAAGAGAAAGAATGAAAATAAAGAATTCAAATTCAAATTGTGCAAACCTCAAAAATAAAAAAAGAAACTTAAGTGCAAATTTTGGGCGGAGTGTAACAGAAAGCAATAAAATTAAGTGTATGAAGTTAACCTTAGGTAGGAGAAGCCCACCGAAAAGGGCACAGAGTGATCAAAATTGGCAATCCACCGAGCTTGTGAATTTTTTTCAAGCACAGCTTGACAGCAACAAAAGTAAGGAGAAGAAATGCAAATGATGAATGGGCGTAGCCCAAATGGGAGAGGCTTTCCACCAAGCATGCAAATCTTTTTTGACACACCTCAAAGACCGGGAAAAAAGGTAAGGAGAAAAGAATGAAAATAAACTCGAATACAAAGGTACTTCATGGATCAAAAAAGAACTTTCATTTGCAAATGTTAGGCGGAGTGTAATAGCATCAGGTGTACGAAGCTAACTTCAGGTAAGGAGAGCCCCCTCCCCCTCGAGATGGGCAGATTGTGGTCAGAATGGGTGGGGCTTTGCGCAAAACTTGTGAATCCTTTTTCACCACAATACAGAGACCGGAAAAAAAGTTGAAAAAGGAAGAAAATCAAAAAACCTCAATGCAAATGATGCAAACTTTTTAATAGAATGAAGGACTCGAATGGAAATGGTGAGCGCAGCGTAGTCAGAATTAGGGAGGAACTTTTATATCTTTTCCCAAAGCGTAGCTTAGAGACCGAAAAAAAGCAAGAGAAAAGTGCAAATGATGGGCGGAACGTAGTCAAAATAGACGGGGTTTTTGTCAGACTCGCGTGTCCTTTTTGCCACAGCTCGAGACGGGCAAAAAGTAGGAAAAAATAAACGAAATTAACCTTAGTGCAAAACTATGAGGGATAAAAAAGGACTCGAAGTAAATGAAGGGCGGAGCGTAGTCGAAGTGGGCGGGTCCTTACACCGGACTTGTATATCTTTTTTTGACACTGCTCCAGGCCTGCGAAAAGTAAGGAAAAAAGTGCATGGGCAGAGTGTAATTGGAATGGGCTGGGCTTTCCACTGAACTCATGAATCTTTTTCATCACAGCTCGGAGGCAGGAAAGATTAAAAAAAAAAAAAACTAAGTGCAAATGACTCAAATTTTGAAAAAAAAGGAAGCTCAAGTGCAAATGGTGGGCGGAGCGCAGTCAAAGGGAAGGTAATCTACCAAAATTGCTAACCTTTTGCTTAGAGACTGGAACTGAAAAAAAGAAAAAAGAATGCAAATAATGGGCAGTGTGTAATCGGAAGCAGTACACAGTGTAAAAAGTCAAATAGTAACAGGAGATTTTCGAAATGAGAAAAAATGGGCTAAACTTTCCACCAATTTTTTGAATCTTTTTTGACACACCCCAAGGACCGGAAAGAGTAAGAAGAAAGAATGAAATAGAATAAACTGGATGCTAATGGTGCACTTGAAAAAAAGAAAAAAGAACTCATGTGCAAATGATGGGCGGACCAAAGACGAAACGGTCGCTTCGTTCCACCAAACTTGTTAATCCTTTTGGGACACACTTCAGAGATCGGAAGTAAGAAGAAAGAACAAAGTAAAATAACTTGAATGCAAATGGTGCAAAAAAAAAGAAAAAAAAAGTACTCAAATGCAAATGATGGGCGGAGCGCAGTTAAAATGGGCGGGGCTTCCGCCAAACTTGCTCTTTTTTGGCACTGCTCAAGACCTGCGAAAAGTAAGGAAAAATGCATAAGCAGAGTGTAGTTGGAATGGGCTGGGCTTTCCACTGAGCTTGTTGATCTTTTTCACCACAGCTCAGAAGCAGTAACGATTGAAATTAAAGAACCTAAATGCAAGTGACTCAAATTTTGAAAAAAGGAAACTCAAGTGCAAATGGTCGAAAGCAGCACATAGTGCACAAAGTCAAATAGTAGCAGGAGGTTTTTTGAAATGAAGCTGTGTATTAAAAACAGGCTGAGCTTTCCTTCAAGTTCGTAAATCCTTTTTGACACACCCCAAGGACCGGAAAGAGTAAGAACAAAGAACGAATAAAATAACCTAGATGCTAATGGTGCACTTGAAAAAAAGAAAAAAGAACTCATGTGCAAATGATGGGCGGACCAAAGACGAAACGGTCGCTTCGTTCCACCAAACTTTTAATCCTTTTGGGACACACTTCAGAGATCGGAAGTAAGAAGAAAGAACAAAGTAAAATAACTTGAATGCAAATGGTGCAAAAAAAAAGAAAAAAAGTACTCAAATGCAAATGATGGGCGGAGCGCAGTTAAAATGGGCGGGGCTTCCGCCAAACTTGCTCTTTTTGGCACTGCTCAAGACCCGCGAAAAGTAAGAAAAAAATGCATAAGCAGAGTGTAAGCCTAGTTTGGGCGGGTTTCCACCGAGTTCACTTACGCCAGTGTTACCTCAAGTATTGCTCCCCGAGCCGTTTTTTTTTCTGCTTGGGCTTCCTTCTGATGTATGGGTTTCTTTAGTATTGTCCTTTTGATAAACGTCCCATCCACCACGAACGGATTTTTCCGATTCGACTTATGGTGATCAACTCAGCGCTCATTTACCTAATTTTCCCCAGCCTTTGGGATGTTTGTGACCGAAGTTCGAGATGTTGCCGTTGGCACTGCCTATATTAGCGCGTGCTCCCCCCCCGTTTTGGGCGGAGCTCTGCCCAGCTGATGTCTTCATAAGGGTCTTCTACCACGACTAATTCAGAAAATTTCCTACGGAAACGTGAGGGCTACCATAAGCGGCACCCTTTGTGATGAGAAGCTTGCTGATGTGCGTCTGATATGCAAGGTGTTATTTTTTGCTCCTCCTCCCTCCATATTAGAAATCAGGTCTAGGTATTGCCTTCAGAAAAGGAGTCACATCAAGAATTAATGTATTGTAAAGTCAAAGATGCAAGACCATCCAGTGAATCATACGAATACAAAATCAAAATCACTCTGTGAAAATATTAAAATATGTAAAACGTAATAAATGCGCTGAAAGAACTTATACAAATTCACACACCTGGTGGAGATCCTCTGACTGCTTGACAGCAAAAAGGTAACTGCTGTGTGTTCAAGAAGGCGAAGCTCTGAAAATAACTTCAGAGTGGAAAGTTGCGCAGTTTGGATGGTACAGGGGATTTAACGCAAATGCGTTTGAATGCATACGAAATAAGAGGAGACGAATCAGTTCAACAGGATTAAATAATGAATGTTTGGCGAAGTGAGAACCTGTAAGCACGGCTATTCCTTCATTTTTTTAGGATATGTAAATGCTGTGTTTTGATAAAAAAAATGTACTGCCTAGTATTCGAGCCTAGTTTTGGAGGATAGGCGATGGCAGCCGCTCGCTACAGATGCACAGATAGACTGTCCAGAAAACCAACCAACCTCAGCTATATCCAATCCTTGGAGATGTCGGGACATCAAAACATGTTTTGCAACAACGACATCAAACCAAAACATATTCGCGAATAACAGCGCGCAAACATCCATAGGTGTCTGCGGTTACTGTATTGGACCATGAATCTTGACCAAACGTCCAATGCAGAGCGCGGCATCCTTTCAAACAGCGACACTGATGCTAGTGTGAGTCTGGAATTGGCGGACCTAAAAATTGGGCTTAGATTTTTCTTTTTTTTTGGTTTGGGGCACAGAAAAGGTTTATCCGTAGGGGAGGCTCCACCCCCCCCCCGATCCGAATTCCTTTCATGAGCCCTCTGCTAAAAAACCGATATTTTTAATCGAGCCCTCTGCACAAAAACCGATATTTTCAATCGATATCGATCGATAGCATGTGACCCGATAGAATTTCGACTTTTACCACGGCCCTCAATCAACACTGTGATTCCCAACCTCATTCGAGCCCTCTGCGCAAAAACCGATATTTTCAATCGATATCGATCGATAGCATGTGACCCGATAGAATTTCGACTTTTACCACGGCCCCCAATCAACACTGTGATTCCCAACCTCATTCGAGCCCTCTGCGCAAAAACCGATATTTTCAATCGATATCGATCGATAGCATGTGACCCGATAGAATTTCGACTTTTACCACGGCCCCAATCAACACTGTGATTCCCAACCTCATTCGAGCCCTCTGCGCAAAAACCGATATTTTCAATCGATATCGATCGATAGCATGTGACCCGATAGAATTTCGACTTTTACCACGGCCCAATCAACACTGATTCCCAACCTCATTCGAGCCCTCTGCGCAAAAACCGATATTTTCAATCGATATCGATCGATAGCATGTGACCCGATAGAATTTCGACTTTTACCACGGCCCCAATCAACACTGTGATTCCCAACCTCATTCGAGCCCTCTGCGCAAAAACCGATATTTTCAATCGATATCGATCGATAGCATGTGACCCGATAGAATTTCGACTTTTACCACGGCCCCAATCAACACTGTGATTCCCAACCTCATTCGAGCCCTCTGCGCAAAAACCGATATTTTCAATCGATATCGATCGATAGCATGACCCGATAGAAGTTTCTGCCTTTACCACACCCCCCAATCAATACTGTAATACTTAATCTCACATTAATCGCATTTTACAAACGCAGAATTTAGCGTTTTTTTCTACAG